AAAAAAAGGGAGGCCAGGCCTTTAATCCCAGCACTTTGGGAGGCTAAGGGCTGAGGTGGGAGAATTGCTTGAGCCCAGGAGTTGGGGACCAGCCTGGGCAACATGGTGAAACCCCATCTCTACAAAAAATATAAAAATTAGCCAGGTGTGGTGGTGTGTGCCTGTGATCCCAGCTACTGGGGAGGCTGAGGTGGGAGGATTGTTTGAGCCTAGGAGACAAAGGTTTCAGTGAGCTGAGATTGAGCACCACTGCACTCCAGCCTGGGTGATAGAGCGAGCCTGTCTCAAAACAGTAATAAATATATATAAAGAACAACAACAAAACACCACCTTACTGACAGGGTGAGGCAAGCAGGTTGATAGTGAGGAGTTCCTGGTGTGGGGGTGGCCAGCCTCCCCATAACCTCAGTCAATACCTCCCTAGAGCCATTCCAGATAAATAAAACTTGCACCTGCTCTGCAACTGCAGGTGCAGGATCAGTTTTTAGACCTGCTTTACTAACAGGTTGCCTGAACTACCTTCTATGTAGAAATTCCAGAGCTGAATTGACTATTGTGCTACCCCAGACATGTGCAATCAGAAACATTTACATTAAAGTGGTGTTTATTTCAGCTTGGCAAGAAAGAGGGAGTGGAGTGGTTACTTTTCACGTGAAATTTTTTTAATCTGTTACCTATTATTTCTATGAAAGCATAAAATCTACATTCTATAGATTTCATTTCTCCTTTTTCCTTTCTTCTTTTTTCTTTTTTTAATAGAGATGGGGTCTTGCTATGTTGCCAAGGGCTGGTCTCAAATTCCTGGGCTCAAGTGATCCCCCGCCTCAGCCTCCCAGAGTGTTGGGATTACAGGCATGAACCAATGTGACTGGCTATAGATTTCCTTTCTAACCATACTAGAAAACTTGTAGAGAGAAGAAGAAAGAAGGAAAGATAAAAGAGACCATTCTGATAAGCTAGAAATATGTTAATATCTATTTGGGGATCTTTTAAAAATACTAATAGCCAGCACTCATCAGTATTTCCTCCTTGTCAGGCCATACACTAATGCTTTTCTTATATTTTCTTGCTACCACCCTGTAATGGATAACTGTTATTAAGAAAACTGAAAGTTAGAGGGGTTAAGCAGTTTTCCCAATGTCACCCACTTAGTAAGTGTCAGAGCCAGAATTTGCAACTGGATCTGCCTGATGCCAGAACCCACAATATTAATTACTTTGGAATATAGTACTTGCTTGGAAATAATTCAAGTTCCCTCACTGGTAAATGAGAAGGATAATCGCAAACTCACGGAAAGGAGGTCTGAAAACATTCTATGACATAAATAGATGGGAAAAAAAGTAGATTTTTATATTTTCTGAACATATTGTTTATGGTAAAATCATTTTTCCTCATGTCATTTGTCTTCACATGATTCGTCTAGCTTTGATTTTACTTCTTTCCCATGGCTCACTTATAAGTCTCCACTCGAAAATCTCCATATTTGTACAAGGAAGAATCTGGAAGTGGCATGAAAGAGAGCTAGCCTATTAGAGCCACTGGGAAGTTTTCAGTGGAAATCTAGGTCAGAGCAGAGAAGGCGGACCCTCGGGAATTGTTAAATACCCTTAACAACAAAAACAGAGGGAGAGAGATTTTAAAGGGGATCTAGTGAATGTCACTAGCCTTTTTTTAATGTCCAGGCCTTTTCTTCTCTGGGCTTGTTTGTGGCACCAATGACAGGCTTTTGGAGCCTTCATTTTGCCCTACATGTATTTATTACTCTTCAATTGGGTTTGAAAATTTTGTTGCTTTTATGGGAGAATGTTTGCTTTATTCCAGAAATGGAATAAAAATGGAATATTTGGGTGAGAGGAATGAGAATGTAGATCAAAGAGAGGTCCATGTTGTTTGAAAGTGAAAAAGCTGTATACAGATACTTTTCTGAACTCTCAACTCTCACTTCTCGTCAGGTAATATCTATTTATAATTATCCTGTTTTGTTTTTCAGTACATATTTGTCTCCTTACTCTCCAGAGATTCAACTTACAAACTACTAAAATCTGTGTGTGGACACTTAGAAGTGAGTATGATGTCCCTGAGCCTCAATTACTATCTCTCTTCTGTATTTCTTATGGTTTCATTGTTAATCTGGTTTTTCGCTTTGTTCCAATAATTTCAGAATACAAGTGTTGGTAACAGTCCCAATCCATCTTCTGCTGAAAACAGTTTCCGAGCAGACCGCCCGTCATCTCTGCCTCTGGTAAGTTGCCTACATAACTATCTAAATGCAAAAGAAAGGGAATATGTCCCACAGTTACACTTGTGCTTACACCATGACCAGGGTGTGGGAAGAGCTTAGGACCAAAATATTTGAGGTACAGTTGAAGAAACAGGGCATATCTGTCTTGAAGAAGAGGAAACCACAGTAGCCATAAACTTTTTCCAAGTAATTGAAGAGCTGTCCTGCAAAAAGAAAGAAACACCTAGTAGACTGTCTTGGTGAGTTACTGGTCAGTGAAGGCATTCATAAAGTCTTGCTCTGTTTGCCTGTCAATATTGGTTTAGAGGGATTCACACATCTATTTGAGGTAGGACTGAGTCATCCCACAAATCCTTAAATGTCTTCTGTGTTCAAGGCACCATGCTAGTGCACGCTGTAGGATACCAGGAAAAATTAAAACTAATTCATGCCTTCAGAGACTTCACAACTTAGAAGAGAAGACAAACATGCTCAGAATTAACTGTTTAAAAAAAAAAAAAAAGAAAGAAAGAAAAGAAAAGAAAGCTATAAAGCCCAAGTGACAGGTAAAGATTGATTCATTCCCTTAGACTTTGTAAACTGTAGAGTAAATCTCCAGTGGGAAGTAGCTCCCTCTGTTTGTGTAAGATTTGTACTCATAATGGTTATAATGTTTTCCCAAGAGAGTTCCAACCATATCATTCAAATGATTATAAATATTCAACATTAATGAAGCAATATGAGCCCATGGTTTCAACATCTCCCACAAATCTTTTTTTGAGAACAGTTTAAAAGTAATGGGACTGAAAGCGTATTCACACAAACACTTGTACAAGAATGTTAATAGCATTATTTGTAATAGCTGAAAGGTGGGGAAAAGCCTAATGTCCATCAACTGATTAATAAATTTTTTAAATACCCATATAATGGGATATTATTCAACCATAAAAAGGAAATTAAGGGCCAGGCGTGGTGGCTCATGCCTGTAATCCCAGCACTTTGGGAGGCTGAGGTGGGCAGATCATGAAGTCAGGAGTTCGAGACCAGCCTGGCCAACATAGTGAAACCCTGTCTCTACTAAAAAATACAAAAAATTAGCTGGGCCTAGTGGCGGGTGCCCATAATCCCAGCTACTCAGGAGACTGAGGCAGGAGAATTGCTTGAACCTGGAAGGCAGAGGTTGCAGTGGGCTGAGATCGCCCCGTTGCACTCCAGCCTGCAGGATGGTGCAATGAGACTCCATCTAAAAAAAAAAAGGAGGGAAATGAAGTACTGATACCAGCTACAATATAGCAACATGGATGGACCTTGAAAGCAGCATGCTAAGTGAAAGAAGCCAGACTCAAAAGGCCACATATGATTACCTTTACAGGAAATATTTTGAACAGGCAAATCCATAGGGACAGAAAGTAAACTAGTGGTTGCCAGAGAATGGGGTGAGGGAGAAATTGAAAGTGACTGCTAATGGGTATGGGCTTTCTTTGGGGGGTGATGGAAATATTTCAGAACAAGATTGTAGCCATGGTTGTACAACATTGTGAATATTCTAAACACCACTAAATTGTATACTTTTAAATGGTGGATTTTATGTTACCTGAATTTTATCTCAATTTCTTTAAAATCTACGTTGAAAAACAGTAGTGGGAAGCAGCACAAAATATAATGTAACACATATGATTTGGAATCCAAGAAACCTGGTTTTAAATCTGGGCTCCACCCAGCTATGTTATATCATCAGGCAAGCTCTGTAACTGCTTTGACTCAGTTTCTTCATCCATTAAAATGCCAGCTTCATGATGTGGCTGTGAAGATTAAATGCAATCATGTACGTAAGGAGCTTTGCATACTGCCTGATACAAGATAGGCATTCAAGAAATCATTAAATTGAAGAAATTTTCAATCTTCCTTCTCCTATAAATCCTTGTATGAAATCGAAATGAGTGTTGAGATGAACAAAAGACAGCTAGTTCAAGGTGAAATGTTGGTAATTTGCTTACAAGATGAGGCTCTTCTTCATTTGGCAGCTGACTAAATTGTTAAAAGCTCAGCCTAATTGTACCTTTGCCAGGACATTTTAATGACACCATTTGTCTCTTCCGTTCTTAAGCACTTTGGGGAACCAGTAGAATGCAAAGTAGAACGCCTGTGCTTTTTCCCTTACTCCTCCATCATCTTTCTAAAATGTAAATGTACTAGCACTAACCCTGTTTTGATTTAGTTGAGGGAATAAAAAAATCTTAAACTTTACTTTCAGGGCCTAATTTGCTAAAGCCATTTTTCCTTTTCTGTTTCCAATACTTTTTTAAAATAAAAAAAAACCTATAATTTAGTAGTATCTTTCTCTCTGTCTACATATTTGAACTTGGATTTAAAGCTTTCTATTTTTTTCTCTTATATATGTGTATAGTAATCAGGTTTTCTCATTACAAAGTGCTAATGAAACCTCCTCAGCTTCACACTGGAAGCTTCTCAATTATTGGCATTCTGGGTGTTCTTCCAGACATTTGTTGTTTTAAACAAGTTGGCCACTGTTTGTTGACAGAATTTTAACTGCCTGAAAAATCTGTTTCAGTAACCAGATACTCGGTGATCTGTTGGGAAAATCCCAGTCATATGGGGTAATCCTTCCTTCTATTCTATGTTTTATAGGTCAGGCCTAGGTGAAAGGGCTGGGAGGTACAAAGGCCTGCCTGTTTACTAAGGGAAAATCAGCCTGTCTTCATTTCACTGTTTCCTTTCAGGATTTCAATGATGAATTCTCAGATCTGGATGGAGTGGTTCAACAAAGAAGGCAAGACATGGAAGGATACAGCAGTTCTGGTTCTCAAACTCCTGAATCTGAGAACTCTCGAGGTTTGGGAAATTGTTGTATTTTGACTAAAATTTAATTCCCCGCAAAACATCCTCACCCAACCCCCTTAAAAAAAAAAAAAGAACGAAAGAAAGAAAAGAAAAGAAAGAAAAAAAAGCCACATTGTCTTCCTAGCTAAAAATCAGGAATGGAATCTGGAGAAAGGATGCCTTGAGAGTTTGAGGGAAAAGAATTGCCTATGTGGTAAAAATTCGTTTCCTTTTATGCATATTTAACAGAGGTCTCTTAAATAGACCTAATATTGGGGTAGTTGAGAGAGAAAAACATAATATTTTCTTCCCTCTTTTTTTTGTTTTTGTTTGTTTGTTTGAGACGGAGTCTCTCTCTGTTGCCTACGCCTAAGTGCAATGGCGCAATCTTGGCTCCTGCAACCTCCACCTCCCAGGTTCAACCGATTCTCCTGTCTCAGCCTCCCGAGCAGCTGGGATTACAGACATGTGCCACCAAGCCCGGCTAATTTTTGTATGTTTATAGTAGAGACGGGATTTCACCATGTTTATCAGGCTGGTCTCGAACTCCTGACCTCGTGGTCCACCCACCTCGGCCTCCCAAAGTGCTGGGATTACAAGTGTGAGCCACCGCGCCTGGCCTATTTTCTTCCCTCTTATTTCAATAATGTTTTTAATTGTTATAGCCAAATTATCTATGTGAGTTAGTTGGAAAATGAAAGACTATCCTTATATCACTTTATTACTTATTTGCTTAAGCATTCAGTTTCAGCCCCCAGCCACCACAACTAACTTGTGAGACGATCCATTCATGTTCTTGACCATCATGCATGTTAAGGGATTGATTTACTTGGTGATTAATCCTGTTTTAAATACATTGGAGAGAAAACTTACCCAGCTCCATTTTGGCTTAGTAGATTTCCATGTGACAGAATCCCAAACAGTTCTGAATGTCTCCAAGGGAGAAGCAAAGCCAACTCGGGCAGATGCCCATGTGAACAGAGTACCTGAAGGAAAAGCCAAGAGTCTCCCTGCACAGGGTAAGGAATGGAGGTCTTGTGAGGGGGTTTTTTAGAAGGGTTGGAGACGTCTGGTTGTAACTTTTTTTCTTTATTAGACAGCGTCTTGCTCTGTCACCGAGGCTGCTGTAGTGCAATGACACGATCTCGGCTCACTGCAACCTCTGACTCTTGGGTTCAAGTGATTCTCATGCCTCAGCCTCCTGAGCCGGCTAATGCCCCGCTAATTTTTGTATTTTTAGTAGAGACAGGGTTTCACCATGTTGGTCAGGCTAGTCTCGAACTCCTGACCTTGTGATCCACCCTCCTTGGCCTCCCAAAATGCTGGGATTACAGGCGTGAGCCACCACGCCTGGCCTATTTGTAACTTTTAAAGGGTCCCCATGTTTCACCTTATGACTGCTCTTCATGTTCCCTTTCCTCCTTTTGTATTATAGGTCTTTGCATATTAATTCACTTATTCATTTAGCAACCAGTACCCAGTTCCATGATTACAGTGGGGGATACAAAAGTGAATAGCCTTCATGGAAGTCACTTCATGATTCTGAATACATGAGATTATGTTTCAAAAATTTCTGTTACTGTAACCCCAGCACTTTGGGAGGCTGAGGTGGGAGGATTGCTTGGGTCCGAGGAGTTCAAGACCAGCCTGGGCAACATAGTGAGACCCTATCTCTACAAAAAATTTAAAAATCAGTTGGGTGTGGTACATGTTTGTAGTTCTAGCTACTTGGGAGGCTGAGGCAGGAGGATTGCTTGAGGCCAGGAGGTCAAGGCTGCAATGACCTGTGATCACGCCACTGTCACCTGGGCAACAGAGTGAGACTGTCTCAAAAAAACAAAAAATTTTCCAGTAAAACTCAAATTTCTTATTTACTTTTTATTCTAATAACTAGCTATACTGGTAAGAGAGCAAGGATATTGTTATATTGTTCACCATTGATTCCAGCACAATGCTTGACACAAAGAAGGCTATGGATAGGTGTGTAAATCAATGAATTTTGTTGGAAGGAATTGTAACTACTGGTTAAAATGACAACTGGGAGGCTTCAGTGGATATTTTCTCTGATTTCTTTTACCTGGGAATAATTACCTCTCTCAAGTACCCTATAGGGATATTGCTGGATAAAAGAAGTGTGTTATGGTTTTAAACAGTTGTTTTTTGTTTTCCACTCAACAGGTCTGTCAGAAACTGTTGGAATCTTACATAAAGTCAAGTCTCAGAAATGTCCAATGCTTCACCATATTCTTATATTCTATGCAATTGTGTAAGTACATGAATTTACTGTGACTAAGAAAATGATTTCATTCGCTAAAGGAGTAGTCTCTTCACATTGCCGAGACCTACCGTAAATCTCAATTGTCTGAAATGTGACCCACATCTTTACTTTGACAATTTGTCTCCTACTTCAGCTTTTTTTCCTTAGGCTTAGGTCACATTTTCGTGGTTGTGCCAAACCCTGCAGAGGACTAAGTTCTGAGTGGGTACCATTAGTTGGGAAATTGCTCTGTAAATTATGAAACATATTTACCCTTGTTATTGTTTTTATTTTTTTGACATATAATCATTGTACATATTTATGGAGTACATATATGTACATATAATGTATACTCATCAGATCTGGGTAATTAGCATATCCATCACCCTTATCATCTCTTTGTGTTGAGAACATTCAATATCCTCTTTTAGCTATTTGAAATTCTATCATTGTTAACTTTAGTCATTCTACAGTGGTATTCAACACTAGAACCTATTCCTTCTATCTAGCTGTAATTTTGTTTTGCCATCTGTCCCATGTCCCCTGAACAGGTGCCAACACAACTTGAAAATGTTATCCTCATCCCCTTTACCAAAAATGTAGGCATCGACTTTTTTAACTTCCAGTGTGTAACCGATTGTTCTTCTGAAAATAGCCTGACCCAGTTCTAGGCTGTTCCTCCCAACCAAGGAAAATATGCCCAGTCTAGTTTCCAGATAAAGGAGGGAGTCACCAGAGAACACGACTGGGGACTGTCTGCCCAGGCTCTTCCAGCAGAGGACGGTAGTACCACAGGGAGGAGGAACGCTGGCTCGGTACTCCAACTTGGGTCTGGCTCTGACCAATGCTATTAGAAGGGTCATTATTTGCAAATTGAGGGACTTGGGCTAGAGGATTTTAAGTCTCTTCTAGCTGTAAGTTTTATAACAAGCATCAGCCTGTTTAGAAAGGATGTTTTTAAAATCTCTTTACCAAGTTATTTTGGAAAATGCCTTGCCTCAAGTGTATCACATTGGCACTGAGTTGTTTTATGAACATCAGATCCTGGCCATTAACCTAATGAAAGTTTCTCTTTCATCCCTTTCCAGTGTCTGTGCACTAATCATCTCGACCTTCTATATGAGATACAGAATTAATACTCTGGAGGAGCAGCTGGGGTTACTAACCTCCACTGTGGACACCCATAATACTGAGTAAGCTAATTGCCTCTAGTGCTGTCATCTGCTTGCCTTTCTGCTTAATGTAATAATTGACCAGAACTTAGCATCCTTCTTAGTAAACATTAATTGGAGATACATTCTGTATGAGATATTTTGTTAAGTGTATATGTGGAAAGTAAAAAGGTAGGAGGGTCTAGAAATGGATGACCTAACCCTGTACTATTTTGGAGTTGTTGTAATGTTGCTAGTAAGAAGGCAAGAAACAAGCCTCATTTTATATTATCTTGCTCTAATATGCTAAGATGCAGTTGTGACCTTGCCCCATTTCTTAAACTATGCAAGTTTACCTTAGTAAAATGGCAGTTAACCAAGACACTCAGAGAAAGAAGCAATTCAAGAAACTCGGCACATTTGATCATGTATAACTTTTTATATTAACTCACTTATTTACAAAACTCTTGACCACTGTCAAGATCAATGTGACTAGTAATTAGTTGAATGTGTCTGTGAAGATTTTCCATCAGTCTTTTTTTTAACATGCCTGGCCTAATTAAACCTTTTCAGACATAGAGCTCTTTTCTTTAAACCTGATTACATGAAGATTTTGACACGTTACCTAAAAAGTGAAATAATTTATGCTATGTTAGAAAGTGTACATTTAGCCCAAGTTTTTGAAGTAATGATATTTCCTGGCAGAGCGTCCACCACATGCTAAAGACTCTATTAGAATGAATACATACACATACAAATACAAATGATTTTTCCTCATTACATTTTCACCACAACTTTAGAATAGAGCTGTTATTCCCATTTTACAGATGAAGAAACTGAGACTCAGAGTAATAATTAGTTTAATGTCTTACAGTTTGCAGAATCAGCTGCAGGTGTATATAACTACAAAAACCATGGGCTCCTCAGTCTACCAGTGGCTCTCAAACTTTAATTTGCATCAGAATTATCTAGAATCGTTTAAACAGATTTCAGGGCTCATCTCCAGAGTGCCTGATATAGTAGGTCTGGCATGAGGCCTGAGAATTTGCATTTCCAGCAAGTTCCCAGGTGGTGCTGATGGCAATGGTCTGAGCTCTGTACTTTGAGAAATACTGTGTTATACCATTCTAGGACCTTTCTTTACTCTGTAGGAATTACCTTTAGGTGGCTTACATGTATGCAGCTATACAGATTATTTTTGAACCATAAATATACACTTGAACTAATAAAATACAAAAGCCTAATAAACAGTTTGGTATGGATTCATACTCTGCCCTTACTTTCTCCCATCTTGTTCAAAAAGTTAATGTACATAAAGACAAGAAGTGACTCCAGGCCAGGCACAGTGGCACATGCCTGATTATAAGACAAGGACAATTATAGCTGTATGATAAATCTCAAAGAAGAAACTACAAAAGTCTCACATTTCAAGGGACATTTGATTAACTAGATAAAGACATTCCTAAACTTTTAAAGTTCTAGTATAAATAGCTGAAAAGTGCAATCATTCTTGTAAGTTTATGCTCTGGTAGAGACAGAGAGGATATTAGGGGTTAATAAAAGGGTTCTAAGAAACCACGTGCTTGAAAATAATTGCCTGATTTTCGTTTGGAAGCCGAAACACACCATATCCACTTAAAAATAGCTTAAGAGATTTCCAGCTGAGCCTTTAGGAATTAGTTCCCTAAACATCTAGACTGGAGTTGCGGATTACTGCAGGGCTTTGTCTAATATTAACAAATGAAATGTTCACTGTCTTCTATTGTAAACCAATTTTCTGTTCGAATCAATTTTAAATGTGTTCATTCCACTTCTTTCCTTGTCATCCCTGCCCTTAATAATTTTTCTCTTTTTTCTTACAGACAGGCAGCACCATCTGGCCTGGGATCACAAGTACAATTCAATGTGGAAGTTCTCTGTCAAGAGCTTACAGCTAACATAGTGAAATTAGAAAAGGTGACCTATTTCTTTCCTGTGTATGGGGGCAGTCACAGTAGTGCCTATTGATTGCCCTAGGTCAGCTCAGGGATTACACACTCAGACGCCGTTAGTGTGCCGCAATAAACCTACATGATCAACCTGGGCTGGGGGCTTTTCATAGTAAATGTGAAACAATATTTTTTATTTCCACAAAGAAACAGGTTTTAATCTCATTTTCCCTGAAATACCTAGTCTTGCGGGTCTTTTGTTTTTCCTCCTTGATTAGAAATATTACTTAATAGCACAGGGCCCAATGGTAAGTGACCTCTGACATCAGAGCTCAGTGTAGGGACATAGTAGGGAGTGAACTGGAGACCCACCACTGGCTTGGCCAGAAAGTACAGCCCCAACTCCACCCAGGCTGATCGCTCCCATACATAAAATATTGCATGTAAGCCCTATTAGAACCATGGAAGATAGGCGTCATTGTTCCCTATCTGATAGGAGAAGAATCAGAGTATCAAGTTAGCTTGCTGAAGGTAACACACCTAGAAAGGCAGCAGACTTGAGTCTGCTGAGAGAACTTTAAAAGAAAAATATGAAAATGAAGTCAGCAGATCTGGAACCTGAACCAGGCCTGTCTGACTGCAAAGCTGTGCTTAGAAGCTCTCTGATTTACTGTTCCTCAGAATTCAGCTTTAGGCTTTGTTGATAAGGCCACAGATGTACCTTTATCTCAAAGTGTCTACAGTCCAAACAATGCTAGGGCAAATCTGTCCTTAGCTTGTGGCATTCTTAGAAGGAAGCAGGAGAGTGAGCTGGAGAAGAAGATAGGCATGCCAGAAATATCCCAGAAATAAACCTGATTTACATGTCTTATTTTCTTCTCCTTTATCTGATAACTACTTTGCTTTTACTCTAATCCTTCAGGAAAGGCTTAGAGAGAAGAATCCAGTGTTCAGTTAGAACTGCTGTCACAAATGCCCAGTATTTGGTAGCTTTACATCATAGTACAGTTATGCTTACTTGGGAAGATGTATTTCTTCATATTAAATACAAATTAGTAAAATTTCATATTAAATACAAATGAGTAAAATTATCTTTGTTTTTCTACACTCAATGTTAGTATTTAATAGCTAAAGTATTAAAAGCAAAGGAGTTTCCAAACTTACGTTCTAAACCAAGTCAGGTCAGATAATTCATATTAAATCATTGTATTTATGGGCAAATGTGGAAAGTTCTTACATCGAGAATCAACCTAGAGAAGGTATGGGTTAGCTTTTTTTCCTTTTTAAACCATTAATTTCTGAGAATTGAAGAAAAATGATTTTTTTTAATGAAATGCTTACAAATGTTTGGCTTTCATGCAACCCAGAGAATGGAGTAGTATTCATTTTCAATTTTGTTCACTCTGACATACCAGTGATATTCTTTGGATTAGAAACACATGGGATCCTGCTGCCTTCTTTTGTGTTTCTTCCCACTCTCCCACCGGGCCCGGCCAGGACACCACGTTCTGTAATCAGGGAACTGAAAACAGAAGGGCTTGTTCACAGCAGGTCAACAGCCTCGGGTCTTGTGCAGGGTTCAGACAGCCTAGCAGGGAGGCCGGGGAGGTTTACAGGAGCACCAGTGGAGACCACCTTTGTCTCAAAGCAGAAACTGATTCAGTAAAAAGTGGATTTGGGGTCAAAATGCATGTGTTGATGTTCTAAAAAGTTAGAAGTTGCACACATTGCTCAAAAGAACCTAAGTATTAAAAAAGAGGTACCAGGCCACACCCGTGCTCTTTTTGACTCATCTGCACCTTTCCTCAGAGGCAGCTGGACGCTAGTGCAGCACAGCCTGCCGGTGAAATAGCAGCTCCACACCGTGGAGGTCTTATACTCCATACCAGCAGTTCCTTCTTCTCGCCTTCGGGGGCCGGTGATGTCTAAGCCTCATGATCTTTCTCTGCTTATAACTTCCCTATTTCTGTTCATGGCATCACTGCTTTTCCAGTCATCCTCATTGGCAATCTAAGAATAATTTTTAACTCCCTCTTTTCACCTGCCACTGATTGACTAGTTGGCAAATCCCGTGAAGTCTGTCTTCAAATGTCTCCTCAAAGTTTCTTCTCACAGGTACCATCCTAGTCCATTCAGCCTTCCCACTACCAGTCAGATAGGATGAAGCTGGATCTCATTGTGGTTTTCAATTGTATTTTCGTAATTATTACTGAGGCTGAACATCTCATATATTTATTGGCCATTTGGGTTTTCCTATGTAAATTGCTTATTTCCCTCCTTTGTTTTACTTTTGGGTTTTGTGTGTGTCTCATCATAGGTGTGTTTTGTGGATTTGGGATATCAGTTCTTTGTTTTATCCCTTTTTCTACCTCCCACTCCTGTTTTTCCATTTATCTTTCATCCTGAGGGATACATGAGGAAGAAACAAAGCAGGAAAGTGGGGGGAAAAGGCAATGTCTTTTATGGGAACTGAAGTAAACACTTATTTTCTTAGCTCTGGAAGTGGAATTAATGATGGAACAGTATAGTAGAAAGAGCATAAATATTGGAGTCAGGCCTTTGTTCTTATCCCTGCTCCACCACTTACTACCCACATAACTCATCCTGCTAGTTCGGCTCCCTGGCCCATGGTTTCATGTGTAAAGCCTGTCTTTGTGTAGTGTTATGTGACTCAGGAGCAGGCATGCCTTTGCTGGCACTTACATCTCAGATCCCCTTCCTCCTCACTCACCTGAGAACACCCATAGGACATCACAGACTGTTCCTCTAATAAACAATATGTTCTTTCTTTTGATCTGCAAGGTTTCTACTCCCATCACAGGGCTGGTTGTTGAGAATTCCTTGCTCTGAATTCTTTTTTTTTTTTTCCCCCCGCAAGACAGAGTCTTGCTCTTTCACCCAGCCTGGAGTGCAGTGCCACAATCTTGGCTCACTGCAACCTCCACCTCCCAGGTTCAAGCAATTCTGCTGCCTCAGCCTCCCGAGTAGCTGGGATTACAGGCGCCCGCCACCACACCCCGCTAATTTGTATATTTTTAGTAGAGACAGAGTTTCACCAAGTTGGCCAGGCTGGTCTCGAACCCCTGACCTCGTGATCTACCCACCTTGGCCTCCCAAAGTGCTAGGATTACAGGCATGAGCCACAGCACCCAGCCGCTCTGAATTCTTACAAGTTCCTTTATTCAACAGTCATTTACTGAGAACATTTTTGATGTCCAGCATTGGACCTGTCTTAAGATCCAAACATCTGATGTGGTTGGTCTCTGTCCCTGTGAAATCCACAACCTTCTTGGAAATGTTAAATAATAATAGCTAATTGGAGTAACAGGAGTGTTAAACATTATTACGTGGCATTTGTCTGATTAAAACCATCAAATGGGTTGTGTAAAGACCAATTTCCTATTGTCTTCTAATGCATTTGGGTCACACTGGTGTTGCCAGTTCCTTGTTCTTTTTCTTTCATCTCATTTATCTCAGTCTCTACTGATATTTTCATCTTTCTGCCATTCTCTCTTTTTTTTTAAAGCACTATATTCTCTCATTTTAAAGTAGATTGTAAGCTGGACATGGTAGCTCACACCTGTAATCTCAACACTTTGGGAGGCTGGGGCAGGAGGATCACTTGAGCCCAGGAGTTCTAGATCAGCCTGAGAAACATGATGAAACTCCGTCTATACAAAAAGTGCAAAAATTGGCCAGGCATGATGGTGCACACCTGAAGTCCCAGCTATTTGGGAAGCTGAGGTGGGAGGATCAGTTGAGCCTAGGAAGTCAGGGCTGTAGTGAACCATGATCACATCACTGCACTCCAGCCTGGGTGACAGAGTGAGACCATGTCCCAAAGAAAAAGTGGATTGCCAGAGTTCTAGTTTATGAAAAAGCATCTATTTGCCTCATCTAAATTTAACCCTTTTGTAGCTTTTTATTCAAAGTGGAATAATCTAGAACGCTATATAGACTATAGCAAATATGCCCTTAATATATTCCATTCTATTTAATAATAGGAGCTTCTTTTCTTTTATTTCAAGATACAAAATAACTTACAGAAGCTGCTTGAGAATGGTGACTGATCGACCAGATTGATTGGACCTTCGGAATACCTCATGTTTCCCTTTGAAGAAGGTGCTTCCCGGGGCGTTTTGTTTGAGTGCGCCCTGCTGGTCAGAGGCGCAAACAGATGAGAATCCAGACATTGCATGTGGCGGTCTCCAGCTCAGGAAAGTGGGGAGGGAAATAATTTTGGTTCTTGTGCAATAAAAGTTGACCTTGACTCTCTGAGGAAGATTTTGCTGCTGCTGCCTGAAGAAAACAGACCCATCTCTGGAGGTCTCAGGAAGGGCCCAGCGGACACACTCTCTTGGATAATTACCATAATGGCATCAGCAAACACTCCACCCTGTGCCTTGTTCATCCTTCCCGCCCTCCTGCCTCTCCCTTACACCCCTCTTAACGACTTTCAAACTAAAGGATGCATCGTATACCGACGAACTCAATGTGGTCCTTTCAAGAATTAGCCACAAGTCTGAAAAAGGCAATAAATGGCTCTAAGTGGACAGGTTTGCTTCAAACAAGTAACATCTACCTTTTGTCTTTTTTTTTTTTTTTTTTTTTTTTTAGTCCTCCTGTTATGTTCTGGTTTAAATCACCTGTGTATCTTAATTTCTCAATTCCTTTTTGGCAAGAATATCAAGCAAGGTGGATTTAACATTCCGTTTATGTTTTGTTTTGTTGCTGTAACTAATAGTTAATTGGACTGGTCAAGAATCTGTGAGGAATGTGACTGAAGTACTAAATTAAACTTATGTTGAAACCAAACCTAATTTTTAAGCCAAAAGGTATATAGTGATTTAATACAGGATGAAAAACACTGAATTTTTAAGACTGTAGGTGGACCATGATAGTAGTTTTGAAACAGGATGTCTGTATTCAGCATTCAATAATGCTAAAATCCATTTCAGCATGAAATTTGTATGTTTTTATCTTTTGCTGACTAAAATAAAATAACTGGTGGTATGCTATTTACCATATAGGTTGGCTGGTTTTTATTAATAATTGTTTAGGGTATCATAAGATCTGTAAGTATAAAGGATATTCTGTTTCTATCCACAATGCATTTGATAATCATTTCTATGAAATGTATTTTATTTAATCAGATAAGCTAATAAGTGAATTGGTTACATCGTTTGTATCTGTTAGCCTAGTGGACAGCTGTGCCTGGTGCACCTCTGGCTTTTAATAAATACTCATTGGTTGAAACGCCCTGCTAACACTGTGTTTTGTCAGTTGGTAAATTCTTTTAACCAAGACTTACTATGCTTTTTAACTCGTTTTCCACCTGCCATCTACTGCTTCCAACTCACTTATACTTCCTTCCTCCCAAGTATTCATTTCAAAACTGATAAAGGAATTTAAGTTCTTGGGTAACAATGGTTTAAAGGAAAGAAAATGAACTTTGAAGTCAAAAAAAAGGAAAAGAAAAAGACAATGCTTGATTCCTCAGTCCACATTTCATGAGTTATGTGACCTTTAGCAAAATATTTGGCCATATCCCCCCATTTTATTGATGAGGTTGAAAGTACCAGTAAAAAGTATCAGCATGAGGATTAAATGTGATAATGTCAGCCAGGTGCAGTGGCTCATGCCTATAAGCCCAGCATTCTGGGAGGCCAAGGCAGGAGGATTGCTTGAGCTCAGGAGTTTGAGATCAGCCTGGACAATGTAGCAAGATCCCATTAGCTGGGTGTGGTGATGCATTCCTATAGTCCCAGCTACTCAGGAGAATTGCTGAAGTCTGGGAGACTGAAGCTGCAGTGAGCCATGATCACACCATTGCACTCTAACCTGGGTGACAGAGCAAGACCTTGTCTCAGTCAATCAGTCAATGTGATGATGTCTCTAAAGCACATAGCCATGTCAGGCAAGTAGTATGCTTTCATAACAGCTACAATAGTCATTATTTTAAAAAATATTTTTATGCAACAGTAGTCCCAGCTACTTGGGAGGCTGAGGCAGGAGAATCACTTGAACCCAGGAGGTGGAGGTTTCAGTGAGCCTAGATCTTGCCACTGCCACTCCAGC